TTAATAATATGTATAAACTGATAAAAATACTAAGAATATATACAATTTGCTTTCCTATCATTTTACATTAATAAATAAATATATAATTATATATTTTCATCAAAATAAACCTTGCGAAAATTTACACTTAATACTTATTAATCCGCAAATTGAACGTGAGTCTTTGATATATTTTATCAATATTATACTACAAGCGATAGCGTGCGAAAAGAACTCATTTATTTCGAATAGCGAGGAAAAAGTTTACGTAATATCTCGCTTCTGACATTATAATTTAATACAACTGCAGCGAAGAAAACAGAAGCTTTAAATTATTAAAAAATATTTGCGATAAATTAATGTGCTCCGATATATTTCGAAACAACAACATCGCGATAATTTATTCTGTTGCACAATGTTATTTTAATTATTAAAATAAATATTATTAACGATGTTATTCAACATTTAATCGAATCAGCTTTCAATTAATACAGAACTCTTCTTTTAGAAAATTTATTTGGTGACGTATAATTGTCGGATCGTCAAGTCTATAAATATTATAATAATTAATCGATACACATCTGTTTTTTATGGGAAATAATGCAAAAAATTGCGAAATCGAGTCTAGTTTAATCTAGACTAATTCCACTATGTTGTAGCAAAAAGTCGATCAAAACGCGTAATTTTCATGCTAATATCTCTAAGAATTTTTTGAAAATTACATAAAAGCGTCATAAACTGGTAAAGCAACTAGAAACCAAATAAAAAAAAAAAGAGGAATCTAATAGAAATAAAACTACACTTCAATTATCGCACAACATATCGAAGTATATGAAGTTAGTTAACAGTGCCTTTCAAATTTTCGTATTTATATGCAATTTAACGGAAATACGGTAAAGCGTCGCCGAGAGATGTTAATTTTATGGAATTTTTAATCATTACTCGCGGCGCAATTCCCTATTCGTGAAATCCTTATGCGGATAACGCTTTATCAAATTCGAGGAAACGAGTTGAGTCGTCGGGTGATGGGTCCGGAAGGAGGTCACGCGCGAATAGGTCTCGGAGCCGAATTCTCAGCTCAGCTCCGGAAGAAAGATGCCGTTGACGGAAACGTCGATTAATTGTACAAAGCCGGGAGCGCGGAGCACGTATATATATATATATATATATATTCGCCAGATTTGATGAAGCGCGTATCGTGAGAAGACCTTGCAGATGCAACTGCACATTAGAGCACGTAAGCGAGATGAGAGCGAGGCCGACGCACGTCTAGCACATCGGTCGATGTTCAAGAGTTGCCGCCTCTCCCCCTCGCCCCTCCTCCGCCCTCTCTATCCTTCTCTCTTTCTCTTTCCTCCTCTTTAAAACGTAAAATTTATGGCACGTAATATCATTACGTCGAATTGCCCGCGATTCCATTCGCGCCGCGGGATTCGCACGAGCTATGTACGACCGTCCGGAGAAAAAGCGTAACATTCGCGCGTGCCGCACCGGAATTCGCGTGCTAGAATAAAATTATCCGCCCGCGCAACGACGGCGGCAACGGCGGCGGCGGCGGCGGCGGCGGCGGCAGCGGCGGCGGCGTATACTCGCACGATATATATACTAGTCGCGCATAATATATCGGGTATCCCGCCGTGTAATGTATCGGATAACTGTCAGACAGATATAGCGAAAGTTTCGCCTCTCTCCGCTTAAGACGCGCTTAAGCGATTTTGCGTTTCTCGGGGATAACGCAGATGTTAGTTTTGCGTTTCGCGAGCGCGGAACAGCCGCGGGAGGAGCGCGCGATGCATTTCGCATTAATGTATTCCTTGTGCATCCCCCGACTGCCGCCACGTGGATTTAACGCGGATTCGTAATAATTTATCTTCCGTTAGGACATTTTAGAGTAAAGTTTTTTTAAATTCCTCAGAGAGGAGCAACGCGCGGGGGAGAAGAGGGTGGAGAACTGATTGTTTCGCTTAGCGATAACGCGTCGCGTAAATAGACAGTACCAAGGAACAGTTTAACCGTGTCTGAGACAACAGAAATTGCAATTTCCTGATCAAAGGAACGTTTAGTCGCCAATTAGACGACTCGATCAACTTCCGTGTTCTCAACGTTCGAAAAATCGGAAGATACAACAGTTTTTACACGCGATTTTACTTTGCATTTCTAAAAAAAAAAACACCATAGGTAAAAAGTCTAAATAAAGTCTATAAATATCTTATGTGTTACATCTTATGTGTCCAATCGTATTTCTCTTTGGTAAACTATTAAGAAATGTATCGATATCTTTTTTGCGATGTTTAATACGCGTATAAACATCAATAAACTTGCTTTCGTGCTTGCTTAGTGGTCGTTTCGATAAGTAAATGTGTAATTTGAAAAAGATTTATTATTTATCTGTGAAAGATAAGATTATAAAGTAAATTCTTGCACACAGAATCCTGATTTCACTGAGCAGCGGTGTAAATTGGATACAACGTTTAAGGAAAGCAGTGAATTAGGAGTAGAGAAATTTGAACTTAATTATAACAGATGTAATTTTAACATCTCGCGACGTTCGGAGTCAGAAAACCAATGAATTTATATTTCGATAAAGAAACGAAGAACGGATGTTGAAAAATTTCTTCACTGTTAAAATCGGTGAATCGTCAAGTTCGTTATTTCCATGCGTGTGTAGGCAGTGAAAAATGCATATAATTAAAACATTGAACACCGATATAAAGTTAAAGCTCGTTTTGTGACTTTATTTTTTTCCAAAATGAAATTTTGATTTCTAGATTGAAGTAATTCTTAAATTCTCTAATCTAATATAAACCTCAAAATGCCATATCCGCGAAAAAAGAAGAAATAGAAATTCTTTACGATAATGCGAGAATCAAATCTTTTTCGCCAAGTATCTTTATATAGAAAAAGAATTTAGATAGAATATATCTATTAAAATTAGATAGAATAGATAGAAGAATTAGATAGAATATATTTAAACATATATCTATATGTAAAAAGAAAAGAGAAAAAAAAGGTAGAAATGTTAAATATTTATAATAAATGCTAAATGTGCGAATAACCATTATTCTTTTATTATATCATACGTTTGCAATAAAACATTTCGAAATTCGGTTGAAATTATCACACTCGATGCTAAACTGTGTTAAAAATATGATTGAAGAATAGCTCTCGAGTTTCAGCTAAATGTCAAATATAATATTTCCTCGAAACAAAAAAAAAAATATTTGTAACCTCCAAACGTATGATTTATTTTAGCATTTTAAATGTAACTTTAATATCTTTAATCGCTCGTTTAGGATGATTAATAAGCAATATTTCCACTGGCATGGAGATTTAAAATGTTTCTCTTATCGTGATTCCGTGAATATCATCTTTGGCAATCTACCGGTATTTGATTTCCATCTTTTAATCTGCGGGTAACTATCTCGACAGAGGAAAGATTATTATTAAGCCATTATTAATATCTTTCGCGGAATTCTTCGGGATTTTCACGGAAACCGGTGAGGTGCCGAGAACGTTTCCAGCTGATAAAATTATCCGATCCTTCCCGTCGGCAAACGGACAGGTCTCCAACTCGAATAATTATACACAGGCTCTCCTACGTGGGAACGGCAGGACTCATTCCGCTTTACGTCTCTTGAACCGCGTTTACTGAAGTAATAAAGACCACGCCATACGACTGCGGACGAAAGGCAATCAGCACTTACGTGTTCGTGTGATTCCGCGAGAATGGATGTCGGGTACTGGGAGCCTCACTCGTGACTGGTCATACCGGAGAATATACACGTACACACCACGGTACACCTACACACACCTTTCCTTCCTTCCTTCGCCTCTCGCGATCGCGAGCTTCGGATTTACGATCGCGGCTTATAAATCACCGGTGGTTCCGACCGGCGCGATTACTTATATACCGTTCCCCCGAAGATAGAGTCTTCAACGCTCCTTTAACACTTGGATCATTCTCCGCCCTCAACTTCGCCTCGTAATCTCCTTTCTCACTCCCAGTGACACTGCCGAAGACCTTTCGCACACGCGAGACCAGAGATAAATCACATATATCTATTCCTTATATTCCTTATATATATCTCTTATCTGTCCCGCAAATTTGCAACACAGATATAACTGTTGACTGTGTTATTCGCGAAATAGCGGTCAACAGTCGGAGCAAGAAGGCAAAAAAGAGATAGCGACGAAAATTGCGCGCTCCCGCGTCACGTCGCGTCGCGTCGCGTCCCTCAGCGAAAACACCCCCTCACCTTCGCGGAGTGAACGATCGACGAACGTGTGC